CACAATTTGGTTTAATTTCAGGCCCCATCAGATGCATTCCAGCTGAGAACTTTGACAGCAATTCTTCCAGACCCACCCCGCCCTTTTCCCTGCACACCATAAGAAGAATTCCGAGCTGTCAAAAAGGGAAATTGCAGTAAATCAAATCCCAGACTTTGAGAATGGCAAAAGGCAAAGGAAGATCGACCCTCCACAATTCGCTTTAGATTTCCATCGCATGTCGCACATGTTTGGGGAACTCTATTTATAACGCGCTGTCCCCTTCTCTCGCAGAAGAATCCCCTCCATCAACTCTTCGCTTATCGCTCTGTGGTTCATTAAAACCGGAGAATCGAAGAAGCAGAGCGAAAAAGAGAGCAAGACACAAGACTGCACAATTAAATCGGGTGGAGAAGTGGATAAGTTACTCTGCCACTTCTTCCAGAGTTGATAATAAAAATTCCTCTCGCTCTTCATCATTTCGAGGCGCTTCTTCATAGCCCACCGATCTATTCATAGAGTTGTTTTCTAGTCATGATGGAATGGCTTCGGTTCGTATTTTTAGATACAGTTGCAGTGCGCCTTTGAAATGTATCTCGTCTTCTGGCGGTTGTTGCATCTCAGCCCAGCCATTCCTAATTTAAGAATCACCAAGATTCCGATTCCGGCAAAGAAAAAAATACCGAAAATAGCTAGAGTCCAAATTGTCACTCTGGACTTGGCACCAATTCAGAATGCGACTTTGCGTATCCCACAGATTTTTTTAGCGGCGGCTGCAGGCATTCCACCCAAGTTAATCACCTCAATTATAAGGTGGCCAACAGTTTGGCTAACAAACTTTTAATTGAACAAAATGCGCTAAGATGAACATCTTTGATGTCCTAAATATTTTAGTTGGCAAACACTTTTGGAGAAGGAATTTTTTGAAAGGTTTGCTTATCTCCTAAGAAGATGGGTATTTTTGAAAAAATTGCTTGCTTAATGCAATGACAGAATCATGATTTTAGAAATACACTGTAGTGAATTAGTTTACAACTATTATTTTTAGTTTTTCCTATTTTATATAAAGATATAACCAAATAAAAAAATTCTAAATATAGACCCCATTTAAAAACCATTTATTATCTGTTTTTTATCCCATTAAATAATGCTAAAACCTTGTTTTTAGTCTCGAATTCCAATTTATAATCGTTTTATAGCTTAATAACTTGAAAATGGAGACGAGAGAATCCTAAGCCACTTGGTGAATAAGCCAAACAAGATCTCTGTGTGGACACCTCCCTAGAGACATGACACACCCCTTGCTTCTTCATCGAGAAACAGAAACGTTGAAAAATGCGAAACTATTTGAACAACAAAACCGAACCGGTTCCAAATGAATTTGCTGTATAAATTTTGTATTTTGTCTGCCGAATTCAAGGTTAATTTTAAATGCAAAATAAATAACGTTGAGTCTTACAAATTAGCCATCCGCCGTTCACAACAAAAGAAATTCGTTTAGTGCTCGGAAAAGATGGAAATTAATTAGCGACCGGCTAATGATTGACTTCGACAGCTGACACAGTGGCCAAATGAGATTTTCGTTTACAGATAGTTTGACATAATTTGTAGGCGTGTTTTTCCTCCCTCCGATTTCCAGAAAAACATGCAACAAACAGTTGCATGTTCGTGTGCGTCAAAAGAAGCTGAGGAGAAAAACACAAAGTTGATGGCGGAAATGCAGATAAAAAATCAAGGAGACGGAGAAAATTGAGAGAAAAACCTTTGGAAAATTAATGAGCTGCAAACAATGCGGACATCGTTAGGGGAAAAAAGATTTTTGTTTTTCGGGAAAACTCAAAAAGGAGAAGGCAGAAGACGAGGGAGCGAGGTCAAAATATTTGGACACCGAAAATACAGAAGATAAAAAGTAAAAGTTGCGCGCTGGGGAAAGGGAAAGGGGAAATCTTCATTCCAAATTGATCAACAAATTGAAAAGACTTTATTGATTCAGCCACACGTCAATCAGATCCAGATTCATTTATCAAACCCAATCAAAACAAAACTAAAAGAGTGGGAAACGTAAAGAAAATTAAAGTCTATACCCAAATATACCAGAAAATATAGTATTTTTAATTTAACAATATTTATATTTTTTTTTTACCCTGCTGCAGACAAGTATTTCTCAATGTTGAAAACTAAACCAAGGCAACAGCTATAACAACAAATTATGGCTGCAACAAAAATTATCAGGTAAACGCTTCGCTTTTCATTTTACACCTTCCACCAAAACACAGCCATCAATTGCCCTCTCCCCTTTAACCCTTCGCCTTCCCTCCCCCATTAACCCTTCATTTTCCGCTGGTTGTAAACAAATCAAAAGGAGGTCAATCCATATTGGCAGAATAAAGTGGAACAAGCAACAATATACAAAAAAGAAGAACTACAATTGTTTTGGATTTGAAATGTTTACGGAGCTTCGACAGGCGATTGCAAAATCTCAAATGCAAAGTGAGATCACTTAAGAAAAACTAAAAGATTTCCGCAATAAAGTGTGCTGGAAAAAAGTGTATTTAGTTCGGGAAATGTTGCGAAATGAAAACTGTTAATTAAAAGTTTCAGGGGCTTTGGGGAGGGGAATTCCAGATGAGATCATACTGTATGTAATGCTTGTTCAGCGAAGCAAGTGAATCAATGATTAGGAATGCTGTAATTAAACTGAGAAGGAAGAATAAAGAGCGCTTTTATCGGGTGGAAAGTACTACATACAGTATAGAGTATAACAGACAGTATAACACTTACAAAAAAAGAGGGGGATGAATGGAAAGAAGGGTGTGCATTAACACTTTATAGGGTGGGCGAGGGTAAGCATCAGAAATGAGAGCAAATAAAACAAGATAAATATCGAAAGTGTGGCAAGGAAGCTATATTAAATAACACTGGGTGTGTACCAAACTATTCGTTACAAAATGTAGCATCATAATGTAAATATCAAGTTCCAATATCAATACAATACCATGTTTTTCAAAAAAGAATTAGAAATTATCCAACCGGATATAAAAAATAATATGTATTTTTGGTATTTTCTTTATTTTCTTTTAAATTTTTTCAATAACTCCGATCTATTATTAAAGAAAACTAAGCCCTTAATGAACATAAATTGAACTTTTTTGAAGTTTCACTACCAAATTAGTTCCGAAATGAGGAAACAATGGCTAACAAGGTCTAGAGATGACCTGGCAGATCTTTGTAAGCCATGTTCTATTATTATTTTTCTAAGGAACAACAAAACTGGGAGATATTTTTCTGACCTTAATTTGGCTTACAAAAATGTGGTAGAAAAACAGCTGGAAATGCACTCAATTGTGTTAATCGAATTCGAATCTGGGCTTTAAGATTTCTATAATTTCCCACTTCCTCCTAGATGATTTTTATTTCTTCCTCCATTATTTTTTCATCACTTATGAGCCGCGAAGAGTGTGGGAGAAAGATTGGGTGCCGAAAACCCGTCTACGGGTCTTAAAATTTCGAGTCTTCGGAGTTAGGCAATTTGGCTCTGAGGTGACCTAAACCATCCCACTGCTAATGAGCCATTAACACGCTTATCTCACAGGAGGAAGAAACATGGCCAAGAGACCGAAAAGACCTGGCCAAAATTGGCCACGCACATGAGATGGGATTTTTTGGCCCAGAGAGACTCGGCACGTGAGCGTTAAAAGCCAAAAAGAAAAACACTTTGGGGTTAAGCTGGGCAAAATGAAAATGAAAGAGCCGAGTGGAAAATAATATGAATTTCCTCAATTAGATTTCCCAGTCGCTGACCCCAAACGAAAAGGCACGATATACTGGGGAAAATCGAGGGAAAACCGGGGAGAGACGAATGCAAATCGCATTAGGACGCGCATTTAATCTGCTCCAAGACATCGCCTTAACCCCGCCCCAAGGAAAATGGTGGGAAATCTAGGAAGAGGGCACACTACTACCACTACTAAAATGCTGCCTTAAACGATTTTCCATTTTCCATTCCGCTGGGTCAGCGGGTCATCGAGTGGGCGAGTGGGCGAGCGGGAAATGGGGAAATCGGGAAAGCGAGATGAATGCAATATGGAAATCAATAAATAAAAACAACATTTTCATTCAAGTGACGGCGAGGAAATGGTTGTGGGAAAAGGCCAACGGAAAACCCTGTTCAAGTGTCGCCTCGGAAAATGGAAAATCTCTCGGGGAAAAATGTAAATAATTATCGGTCTTTTTTTGAAATTTTGTTTATAGAAACTGCAATGGAAATTGAAGTGCGAAGTAGGGAAATACTTAAAAAACTTAAATTAGCTACTTAAAGGATGTTTTAGAGTTTAGTTTTGAAACGAATAAAAATTAATTACTAATTTTACTTCCGATTTTATAATAAAATTTAAAAATAATAAAGTAGATATATGTAATATTTAACAATATTATTTTTCAAAACGTTAAGATCTCTTATTCCCGGAAATCCTTTCTCCCGTTATGTCACAAGCGTTCTTTCTCTTTTTTTATCGCTTTATTTTAAGCCGTCTGCACTTTATCGTTGTCAAAAAAAAGCCGATTGATAGACAAATAAAAATCAACCCACGCACTTGGAAAACAACAACAATTCAATTGCACAGTTACACAAACACATGGGTATAAAAGTGAAGAGAGTGGAAAGGCGATCGGGAAGAAGAAGAGCGGAGAGAGCAAATATTACGAAATCGCAATCGAAACATAACGGTAGATAGGAAAAAGCACCAATACAATAAAAATAAAGGGGAGTTGGTGGGAAAAGGCGGTGGGGAGGGGGAGCGGGTGGTTATAAAAAGAAGTTCGCTCTCTCTCTCACACTCCACCTCGCTCACACACTTGCTGACTGCACGAATTGCAGTTAAAAGAAAGAAGCAGCAAGAAGAAGACAAAGAAGAGAACAAGAACAAAATAGAAGAAAACTCACAAGCACACACACACACCTGTATAGGAAATGATCGTTAAATATTTATATCGTTATAAATTTATTTATATTTTTAACTCACTTGTTTTTTGTTTGTCAGTCACACATGCGCCGATTGCTCCTACAGATTCCAATTGGAATTTGTACCCCGGCTGCAAAAACAGTTTTTTTTTCTTCCAAAGAGATCACTCACACACACATGCAGCGGCACATACACACGCAGTGCACTCGACTGCGTTTTTTATTATTAAAACTCTGCCTTATTTATGCCACCTTGTGTTTTGTTGTTTTTCCAGCGATTTTCTCACTTTTCCTGCCTTTCGTTATTTACTTTTCAGCCTTCTTTTCCTTCAACTTGCTCAATATTTTTCACATGCACTTTTTAGCGACGCCAACACACACATGCACACGCACACACACATGCCGCGGGTGGGAGAGAGAGAGGCGCAAAACACCTTTTTTTCGCCAATTCCTCTTTGGCCGCTTATTTCCTGCGATTCTGGCTCAATTTCGGTTTTGGCACTTTTAGCGGCTGAATTGTTGGCAAATCCACTCTGTACGAACATAAACAAGTAAGAACTCGAGACGCGGCGAATTACGTGGGAAACCGGAACAATTAAACACAAATCAAGAAGTCGGCTTTTTTGGGGGACCATCACCCGTTCATCACTGGACTGGGTTAAACATTTAACAATATCAGCAATTGTTATTGTTTATCTTATCATGTCGCTAACTTCGTCGCAAACACGCGCCGACGAACCGCCCGCAACAAAAATTTTTTTATTTTGAATTTTTGTCGGGTTGATTAGAGGTGGTTTCTTGTCGATAAAAACCATCGATAGGGAATTTCTATAAGTATCGATGTTTGCTCGCGACTATCGGAGTTTTCACGTCTCTAAAATGTAAAATGTCCTCGCTAATTTAATTAACTAATCGAATCAGAGATGGCAGTTTTGAATCAATGTTTATTGGCGAGGACACGCTTTAATAGCCTCTTCCCATAGAGTCCATCCGTTTGAAACGGTTGGGATTTGACGAATGTGAAACTCGTGTTCCCACAGAACTCCATCCACCATCTACCATCCAATAACAGCTGAGTGAAGAGCAGTTGCTCAGCGCAACATTAACGAAGGGGGATTTTAACTCGGAAAAACTGTCGTAAAATTGCGTTCTCCTAATTTTATTGGAGAATAATACAATAAATAGATTAAAAATATAGTTTATTAACATATCTGAACGTTTAAAAAATATCCTACAACGAGTATGCATACATACATAATGCTGACTGGGGGGAGCCTAACCTCCCGTACCCCACACTCCGCTCTTACTACGCCTCTGCCTTGCCAATATTAATATGAAAAATTTGTAAGCAGACCCAAATTTTGCTGTTTTTGGTAATTTATAGCAACTTTTGAACTTTATAGGAGTATAAAGTACACTTTTAATTAATATTAGTTATATTTACGAAGTGCAGAACATATTCTGACACTTTGCTGCAAACATTGATGTTTTCGTACGCAGACAGCTTACATTTGGCCCACTCATAGCAACCTGTTTGTAAATGCTTTTCCGCCCGTAACGAACTATAAATAATTAAAAAAAAACGCAAAAACAATGAGCTGAAGCATTATATTATTTTTTCCCGCCATCGGTTTGATTTGTTCTCGCAGTCATCGTTCCAATTTTCTCAGTCAAGAGGAAGAATTCAGAGTTGCACCGAGAAGACATGGCCTAACTATCCCATAAAAGAGTCAAAGTCCGTCAAAATTGGATGACTAAGGGCCGGTTTCTCGAGTCCCTGTCAAAGTCCCTGACAGCTATCTATCCGAAAAACTTAAAGGCCAGATAAACTGTTCGTAAAAGCAAATCTGCTTTCTCGACTGCTTTCATTTATCTGAACGAGAAACAATTACAGAGTGCTGTTAACGCACAGAATTGTGCTGTGAAGCGCAAAAAATGGCGTGCTTCGATTATTTCATCAGCTGTTTGGGTATAATTCAAAGGAAAAGTCAGCTGTGATTTCGTTTCTTCTTCTTAGTTGGCTCTGGGAAATCAGCTGTCATTCTGATTACGTTTTGATTGCACTTCACGTTTTGATTGCACTTCACGTTGTTTCGTTACTCTTTGATTGCAAGCGGAAAAGTGTTGAGAACTGGAAAAATCTGTATTTGTATTTATTGATATTTTAGTGATTTTTCCAAACATTTGGGTAATACAATTTCAGCTGTCATTCTATCGAGTCGAAAACGCTTAACAGGGACTCCGAGTCCCTGGCAAAGTTAGCTCTCACATTTATGCTCGAGAAAGCCAAAATGCCTAAGCAGGGACTTTATCTGTTCGAGAAATGTTAGCCGGCACTCGAGAAACCGGCCCTAAAACTAACAGAATTTGCCATCAATTGCTGGGGAGCATTTCGGCTGTAAACTAGTATACTTAATGCTAACTTAAATAAATCCTAATTTAATACTTTAAAACTAAATAAATAAAATTAAAAAATATATTTATTTTCAAATTTGAAAAAATTTAATTAAATACCTTTTTTGCTTTTGGCTATGTGTGCGCCTCCAACTCCAATAGCCTTTCCTGCCCTTTTTCCTGCCGTTGTTTCAGCCGTTCGCATTTGTCCATATGTTTTCTCAGCATTTTCGGATTTTTAAGTGATTTTCCGCATCTTGGACAAGTGTGGCGTTGACCATGACTAAAGAGATGATGCCTTAGTGATGTTTTACTTGTATAATGATTTCCGCAAAGCCGGCAGAAGTGGTTTATATGAGCCGGCACACCGAACTGAGCTCTTATATTGTTTACTTGTGCGATGTGCTCCTCCGATATATAAAGCAAATCAAGTAACTTGCAGTGTTTGTAATGTGTATTGCATATTAAGCAATCCGGTTGATTTTTAAATGAACATTTTTTCCCGGAGGTGCCGCTCAGCAGGCCGTCGCCTACCTCCTTGACTACCTCCTCGAAGGAATCGTCTTGTTCCAGGCCTTAGCCTTCCTCCTCGACCAAGTGGTCTAGATATAGCCTACCTCCTCGACGGAGTCGTCTTGTTTCATGTCGCACTCCGGGATCCTGGCCACGGGAGTCTTGGCCACGGGATCGGGATCTAATTTTTTTTTTTAGAAGGAGATCCGTCGCTCACGAATTCTCCGCCCCGCCGTTTTAATTTTGTTATTTCCACCGTTGTTTTTGTCAATTCATTTAACTCCTTTACAAGTTCAACAACATTGGTGTTTAATAAATTAGATATGTTAGGAGACCAAATTTCAAAGTTAATATCGGCACTGTTAAAACTAAACCAACTCGACACTAGTAGCCGATTGTAAGTCGGCTCTTAACATACTAGCAACAAACAATCATGAACAGATTACATGGGTGCCAGGGCACAACGATATCGGAACTCTTTTTTTTATAGCGGCTTGCGGTGACCACGTTGGAAGTCCAGCAGGTCAATTGATATCAAAAATCCAAACAATTTTTATTCGTATAGTATTTTTTCCAATTCGTGAACGATTATTTTTTTTAAGAATATTTGGTTTTATCTGCATACACTAACAATTTTTCCAAAAAGTGGATTTTTCGAGTTCTAAAAATTGTATTAACAAATTCATATTTGCGAAATCAAAATCGGCGCATAAAAACTGAATCGTTCACGAACTCGGCACAATCATTACGAATAATTAAAAAAAAAAAATTGAAGAAGATCTATCAAATAGTTCTTGTGCAATCGTGGTCACAGCGAATGCACTTTTGGAAAAACACGACAGTGAGATAATCGCATTCAAAGTTTTACGTTGAGTATATGCAACTATGAAGTCGAGCACACAAAACTCTGTTTTCCTATAGAACTACTATTCGGATCTCTATGAAAATTTGGGAAAATGTTCTCTAAGGGATATACCTTAGGATTCAGCAAAAAAAAAGTCGTTTTGTTTTTAAAAAAAGGTATATAACCCCTTAAGTGATCAGCTTATTCACATTATAGTATTATAGGATAGTATTATGAAAAGCTTAATCCACCGCCGCTTCCATCTTACACTACCAGTTGAAAATCTAAAATCATGTCAACACAGTAAACTTAAATTAAAAACACATTTTCCGCCTTTTTCTTTAAAATTGCTAATATTCAAAAACATCGATTGTCGCCAAAAAACATCGATATTTCTAAGAAATTGTAAAACATCGATGCATCGATGTTTCCATCGATGTGTCTCCACCTCTAATTGATATCATTGTTTTGGTTTTTCCTGAAATTGTTTTCTAAAGTATCTTTGTTTTTTGCGGATTAGGAAACCCCAGAAATAGTTAGCCATGTCGCACCGCCACCAGGACATCCCCATCCGCCCGCGCTACGGCTATGTGGACGAGGAGAGTGCGGGGCAGGCGGATGGAGCAGCTGGGAGAAGTGCAACTGGAGCATCTGGAGCCACACCCGCCTCCTCCTACACGGAAATCCCCTTTTTGGCCCAGTATCCTGGCGCAGTTCCGGAGCATGTCCTCCAAGACCTCACGCCCACTGCAGCGGGACATCCTGCGATGGGTGGTCAACCGGGGAACTCGGGACACAAAGCACCCAACGGCGAGAGCTACGTGAATCTGGACTCTGGCGAGGATGATCAAGAGGAGGAGGATGATCCCCTGGAGGAGGAGGACAACAGCAACTCGAATAGCAACTCCAAGGACAGCTCAGGAGACATTCAGAGACACCAGGCGAGGACAGAGAGCAGTAGGAACCCCAAAAAACCCATAAATTCTTGAGAGGATTAACATATATCCCTTTCCCACAGATCTACCCTACGAACTGGAGGGCGCCAGCGACTCGGACGGCATGCGGCACTTTGTGGCCCACGATTTGGAGGCCAAACTGCGCGAGGGCGCCCACACGGACTACTCCTCTGAGCACACGACGCCCTCCACTTCCATGGGTCCTCCAGTGGGAGGAGGAGGCGCCCTAACCTCCGGCAATGGCCTGCTCACCCGGAGGTTCCTGCAATCCCGAAATATTCCCGAAGTAGACGGCAGTGTGCTCAGCGACATTGAGCTAGAGGCCCAGTATTTGGCCACCTCGGTAGATAATCTTCTCGAGAACTTGGGCAACCTGCTGCACTCCATCTCCTCCATCACCGCCGACAATGTGGAGGTCCACCGGAATGCAGTGAACAAGTTAACCGACACCTTGGATGCAAACATCAAGTGCCAGTACCAATTGCTTGCGAAAGCCGAGGAGATCACCAAATCCATGAAACCCACGGAGCAGCTGGGGCAGCGAATGTATGCGTCTAGTCTTTCTTAGTCCCTTCCAGACCCTTGATATTCAATGGTTTCTCTTTCTTTTGCAGCAGGGAAATCAAGCGACTGGTGGACATGCTGGACAGCACCATGTAAAAGGGAAATCTGTCATTCTGTGATCAAATAGATCTTGTGTTTCTAGTCATTCCTTAAATACATTTAAGTTAAAAAAGAATTTAAGGACTTTTAATTTACTAAATTGAACTTAGAGCATGCAAATTTCGATGTTTTTGATATTTTCACATTATTGATACGATAATAACGATGTTTTCAAGGGAAAACTCCTTTAAAATATCGAGAGATACCTAACTATCGATTAACTTAATTAATAGAAATTCATTTAAGTTATATTTCTTTAATATTTCTTATTTTAAAAAAGTATTCAAGGGGAGTTTGTAGTACATGTAACATGAAAACCTCTCTAAATATTACATTTGGATTTATATTTAGTTACTTTTTCTTATTTTAAAAAGAAATCAAGGGTCTACGTTTTGGGAAATTGCTAGTACCTCTTTTAGTTTTAAATTTCTCATTTAATAGATAGCTTTCCCTAGTCAATTGATAGTTTTCCTTAGATTCTCTCCAGTTTGGCCACTCAAAAATGCATCTCCTCGTCTCAGAGCTTCTCCACCTTGGCCTTGATGATCCTCAGGGGATCCACAGGGCGATCGTTCTTGTCCGTCTCCACCATTCCTATCCGCTTGACCACCTCCATTCCGGTGTAGACCCTTCCGAAGATCGTGTGCTTGCCATCCAACCACTGGGTGGGTGCCAAGGTGATGAAGAACTGGGATCCATTGGTGTCTGGTCCCGAATTGGCCATCGACAGGATTCCCGCGCCCGTGTGCTTCAGATCGCCGTGCAGTTCGTCGCCGAACTCGGAACCGTAGATGGAGGTTCCTCCGCGCCCGGTGCCCGTGGGATCCCCGCCCTGGATCATAAAGTCCCGGATTATCCGGTGGAACACCACGTTGTTGTAGTAGCCTCTCCGCGAGAGCTCCGCGAAATTTCGGCACGTGTTGGGGGCATGTTTCCAGTACATTTCCACCGTGATTTCACCCATGCTGAAAGGTAGAAATATATGAAAAGTTTCAAAATATTGAAAAATTTTTTTTTTACAAAATTAAATAAAATTAAAAATATAATAAAATAGGTACTGTATTGAGTGATTACTGCATTTTAAGGATTATAAGAAATATATAAATAAATAAAATATAATATAATCATAACTAATATTTTCATGTATCGAGTGCACACTGTACTTGAAACATTACCTCGTTTCCAAAGTCACGAAATGTGGCTGCCAGGCTTTGTCGGGAATTCCCCCCGAATTCGCAGGATCAGTTAAGGACAGCATTTTATATATTTGGTTAAATTCACGGAATTTACTGTTAAAAATCAAGAAAATATTGTTTATATTTGTTTTGTTTCTGTTCCGCTTTTTAGTAAGACCAAAAATGTAGTTGATCAAAAATCCTAATATTGACTATTCGGTATTTTTAGTATTTTTCTATAGGTAACTGGAGATGTTTCCACTGGCAAATGCGTTTTATGTATCTGTTATCTATTTTATTGTCACTCGCAGCTAATCAACGCAGTTAATTTAAATAACCATTTATTTTTAAATAAAATAATAAAGCTCGCTATTACACAAATAATATAATAATATTTGGAGAGTGCTATATTGACATATTGAAAGAATCACTGCTGAATTGGTTATTCAAATAATACTTATCCCTCCGAAATATTTGACAAAAAAAATATTTCAACATTAAAAACGTCCAGTTGATGGTTTAAAACTCTTTTGAATTTCGCCTCTCTCCTCCGCCGACAAGTTCGTTCGCGTCCATAGTGGAGACTGCTTCTTGGCAACTCTGAAATCTGGTATATTTCCACAAGCACGCGGTATTTTTTAGTACCTTCCCAGCACACACTCTATGTTATTTCTGCACTATCCGGCAACGGTCAGTTCCAGTTCAAAATTAAAAAAATCGTGGTCGAAAAATATTTTGCGGACGGAATTTTTCGTCGGGCTCGCGAGAAAAAGAGACACAAGATAGCGTGTTGCGTGTGCGTGAGTGAGACAGCGCGAACAGAGCGAGAGGAACGGAATCATGGCGAGTGTTTTTTTATCATAAATTTCCACAACACTTTCCACGTTTAATCGTAAATGAAGCAAAAAAGTAAGCGAAGTGGGAAAATAATAAAATTTCTATTTACTGTACGTGTGTGTGCGTGTGTTTTTTTGTTTGCTGTGTTGTGTTTGCAGAGCGAAAAGAGAGAGGAGAAACTCGAAAATGAATTGAAAACGATGAACTCAAAGTAGCGCAAAGTGGTGTGTGTGTGTCAGAGAGAGAGCGAATGTGCGTGTGTGTTGGTGAGAAAAACAAAGAGCGAGCGATTTCAATTGCATTTTTAACTTGTTTTCGCCATGGAATTGTTGTTGTTGCTCTACTTGTGTTTTTCGATTGCCTTTTGTTAGCAACAATTTATTTACAGGGTGATGTGTGTGCATCAGACTCTGTTGTATTTTTCTTGAATTTCTTCCCTGGGGGCGGTTTCCATATGGGAAAACTGGATTTTCCCATTGTTTTTCTCAAATGCGGGTGCGGATCTTTCCCTCTCTTTCGCACTTAATTAAGGATGTTTTGTGTTTTAATTCCCTGACTTAGGGGTCTGTGGAAATTTTAAATCTACGATCCCAAACAATAGGATCTCTATGTATCATTAAATCCAATCAATTTTGATTGTTTCTTTATTTTTACACCGTATAAACATTTATACTATTCCGTCCATTTCCCTATTGGAATATGAATTAATGTTATTGTTATATTTTTTATTCAACAAAGTTCCTTATATTTCGCAAAATAATTAGAAATCAGTAAAATTGTTAGTAAAAAATATAATATTTTAATAATAAACACTTAAAGAAGCTTTTAACTGAAATAATAAACCAACAATTTCGAATGAAAATAGATTGTATTAATAGTTGTGGATAAATTGTAAACAGAGAGTTTATCTCTTTATATTTTTTTCTTATTTTTTAAAATGTATAAATACACATGTGAAGAATATGAAAACAATAAAACAATCCAAAATATATCTTAAGTTTATAGTTTTAAACAGTTTAGAAAACGATACTGCGTAATGTCGTAAAGTCCAGAATGTTCAGCCCTACAATTATTCTACATAGGGGTTAAGGAATTCTTTCACTTTTGGGACTTTTATCCCCCTGGGTAATTTTTATTGTTTGGGATTTATTGCCAACTCTTTTAGCAGTTATCAAAACAAAAGAATAACAACAACAATCAGTAAGCGGAAATCACTGCCTTTCCCCCCACACTCTCTCCCACTCTCTCTCTTGTTCCTCTCGATTATCCTCCTGTGACGCTGCGTCATTATAATCATCAACGTTTGTCGATTCATCAAAGAAACCGCCGCCGGTTGCAGAGAGAGAGAGAGCAGGAGAGAGCCTGCTCATTCAAGGATATTATACCGAAAGAGAGGGACAGAGAAAGTCCCTACCTCCCTCTCTCTCTCTCTCTCTCTCGACAATTCCCCATGGGTTTTTTGTATGTAAATCATTTAAAGGGAAATTGTTGCACAACTTTAACGAGGCGTAGGGAGGGGGGTTCATTGCATGTGGGTTTTCCCGGCTTAACCCCTCCCCCACTCCCCCCGTTTCGCCCACTTTGGCAGCTGTCAATTAGAGCTTACAGGGAAAAAAAAGAAAACTCGAAGCGTCCATATGTTAGGTGTCCCTCCCACGATTCTCCACCTCCAACAGCTGTTGGAAAGTTTACCAAATGAGATTAAGTGAGAAGGGGGGTTTCGCAGGAGGCACTGGAGAACTGGGGTTCTCGTCGCTTTATTGGCCTGTAATTGATGCCCAGGCTGCCAACCATATTGCTGATTGAATTGTGGCGTTGTCGCCAGCAGGGGGAAAATGAAAAGAACCTAGAAGACTGCTGACGTTGCCACCGAAAACCAAAACCCGTTTAGGTTGCAACTAATCGAGTCTTCTGTGGGGGAAACCCCGGGGACACAGACTCGTAAAACTCGCCCCCTGCCGAGCGAAAAGAAGCCCGAAAATTCATTTGAGATTTAACGCTCAAGGCAACATTCCACTACATAATAACTTAATTACCAGAAGGAAATTTACATTTATATTTAGTACCTTATGAGTTCAGTCTTCAAGAGTCCTATAAGTAAAATTCTTTGAACTACTGGAGTTATTTCATAAGAAAACAGGCGCTTTCATCAGTAATTTTCTCAAGAAGTTTTCCCTATTTGCTAATAACAACCCAATTTTGATGAAATTCATCAGTTCTGCTGGAAGCCATATGTTTTCTTTTGATCCTTTGCTGGGAATACAAAGTTTTTCATATCCCCTTCTCCTGTGAAACTAAAACGGTTTCTTAACTAAGCTAAAAATATGTTTTACCCACACAGCCATTTCCATCTTGTTCTATATGTGTGTAATTAAGTCTGCCCACGACGCAAGTTTTGCCTCTGCTCCTCTTTTTACCCGGCGGCTGCCCAACGAAACCACTTTGCCCCATTCGCACATCACAACCCCTTTCTCGACCCACCGCAAAAAACCAGAAAAAAAACTATTTCGCAAGGTGCCCCTTTGCCGGTTCTTGGCCTTCCTTTTGCGCTTTCTCCACCCCTTTTCACCAGGCCCCCTCCCTTTCTGCCTGTTTCTGCTGCCGACGCAAATCCTTACGTGTCAAATGGAGCCCCTCACACTTTTAGGTGGCGCCCGAGGAGGGACATCCACGTAAGCAATCATGCCGAGAATGAGCTAACCGATAAGAGAATACCCCTTAAAGGGATTTTTGTATACAAACTAGGTATTCTAACCAAAATTAAGTATAATTATAATATGATATATTATTATTACTATCATATGTGTAATATTCCTTTTAATAATCATTAATGGAATGTTATAAAACAGTTAGGGTGTTAAAAAGTCGATGATTTCTAGTACGTAATTTGGAAAACTAAATTCTAGATACTACATAGGTATTTTAAGACAGAGTTCCTTAAAACCCCAGGACATTCCAGGGTACCAAATGAAGGAAAAACCAAAACAACAACCACAGCGAAAGAAAGCAAAAATAATTTCGCGATTCGTCCCCCGGGCAGAGCTTTAAAAAAAGTCGCAGATTGAGCGGGGAGAAAGGGAGGAGGAGAAAGGAGGAGACAGGGGGTGGCAGGAAGTGAGAAAGAGAGAAGACGGGGCTTGCGCAGGCGCCTGGAAGAATCCGAAATCGGAGAAAGAAAGAGCGAGAGGCCGAAGCCGGCTCTCTTTCTCATTTTTCGGCTCTGTGGCAACAAAGTTTCGGTGCCTCCGGTCCAAAAGTACCTCAATTCTTCGATTCAGAGTCTCCACAAACGGCTTCGCGAGCGGACGTTGCAGCCACTGAAGATTTGGCTGTTGAGGAAGTACCAGCTACAGCTACAGAAAGCCAAGATACATATACATATGTGCTGTTGAAGCTGCTGCGAAAAAAGGTGCAAAACAAATTAAAATGCATAAATAAACACCAGACTCTCGCTGGCAGGTGTTTCGTGTACATGTGTGTGTGTGTGCTGGGCTTGTGCGGTGAAATATTACGAAAGAAAACCTTTTATGTTTTGCAATTTTCCTGCAAACAAATCAACAAACATAAATATTAATTTTGGTTACACCCAAAATGAGATGATGGACAATAACAACAACGGCTGTGGGGGAAACTTGTTTTATGCCCGGTTTCGGATTTCGCCCTCTTCTTCTTCGTCGTTAACTAAACGCCGTCGTATTAGTCGTTAGTTAGTCAGTGTGTGTAAATTGTTTGCCGATATACCGGGCACTTTGAAAGGGTATTATATTTCTAAAACGTCCCATCCCAAAGTTTTGCGCAATTTATCTTGACTGGTTAAATAAATTGATTTATTATATTTCTAGCAGTTGGGGGTTTAATATTGCAAAATCCCTTCTTGGTGCGCACCTTTGAATTATTCTCGAATTTCGGTTTTTGGTTTTACATTTTTAATTCAAACCGTATTCGCAGAGCTTTCAACCTGCAAATAAAAAGGGGCACCATTTTATAGTTGTAGTAATAATAAATTGGTCTCTTTCTCATCAATCCATCAACTTTTATAACGATGGAATAACCAAAACAGCTAATTCTATATAATTAAGGCCTTTTATCTGATTTTATTAACTTGTGTAGATATTTTCCTAAAGAAGACTACTAAATATTTACTGGGTATCGTATCTTTAGGATCCATTTAGTCGGCAGCTGCAAACACAAACATCCATTCAATAACACGCCCTGTCCTTTTCCCACACACTCTACACAATCCATTAATAACTTTGGAACCGGCTTTTTGTTTGCTTTAATTTGTTGTTCTTCTCACAGATGGTAATTTTGGTTTTTTGGTTCTTTTGGGTTTGGTAACGAAAGTTGCCAATTAGGTTTAATTTTGAGGGCTTCGTAGAATTTTTTAGCAAAGTGCGTAGAAAAGGGTTTGTCTGTGTGTATCTGTGTGGGCCAAAAGCGCGCGAGTGTGAGTGCTGTTTTTGTGTACTGGGCCAAGTGCGTAATCTCCAAAATGTTTTTTATTGTTGTTTGTTTTTTTTCGTTCTTTCGTGGTTCTCATTTTTCGACACCCAAATTTTGTTTGTCTTGTTTTTATAGTTTCCTCTCTTTCGCTCCGCTTTTTGCGTAGTTTAAATGCTGAATCAAGTGGAAAAAACATAATAAATTACAGTGGACTCTGGAAAAGGGATATTTGTGTTATTAAAATAAATAAATTGGTATTTTAGTATGCCAACTCTTTATTATTAAAGCAGACAGAGATTATTAAATTAATTTTCTTTAAATATTTATAATTAGATTTTTAAAATATATTGCAGCCTTGTCTGTTTACTGAAATATACTTTTGTGTGTGTTTCTCGAATGGAAATTTCAAAAGCCAATTAAAATAAAAATGTATAAATGAGGGGCAGGTGTGTGCGAGTGTTTGTATGTTATTTTATGTACGTGATTTATGGTCAATTTTATTCAAATACAAATTTCTTCCATACTAATCCCTTATATTGACTCTCTTTACTTGCAGATTCTCTTTTAATTTGGCATAAATTGTATTTGTCTTGAAAAAAAGTATATTACTGTAAATATATAACCTCTTCGTATAAAATTTTAATCATAAATAAATCTTAAAATATTGAAATTAAATTGAAATTTCAAACGGGGTCTCTCGAAACTCGCCCTTGGATTTACCACGTTTTTGTACAAACATAGTTTGTAAGGAGCCGGAAAATAAACACCCAAATGCAAGTGCAGGCCAACTGAGTGCGAGGGAGACAGACGACAGCCACGTTAGAGCGGGATAGCATGCGCCAATGAAAACGTCCCACCATCCAAAAGCGTCCGATTTCGTTGACTACGCCGTTGCCGGGGGCGGGGGATCCGGGTTCTGTCCGGGATTAGGAGCGGGTCTATCAGCCAGGGCGACGTCCTTTTACGGCGATCTAACGGTAACGGCAACTGCGGACGGGACGCGTCACCAGCAGCAGCAACAACAGCAGCAACACCCGCTGAGGCAACCTGCAACATCGTCGTCAGCAGCAACATCATCGTCATCATCATTAACAGCAGCAGCAAACAGCAAGCGAAAACGTCAGACAGGTGAGTTCTGGATTTAATATCCCTCTATTTAGAAAACTTCTAATTCCTGGAATTATATTCTTAGAATTTAATAAAATATTTAAAAAAAGCTAGTGTTTAGAAACCACTTTAAAAGGTGGCGAAAAGTATGTGTTGAAGAATGATTATCTTCTTTCGAAATATATAAATATTGTTGCATACTTTTAGAAACTTTTTTAAATGATTTGAAAGCTCCATAGAGATATTTTTCTGTAAACGATTAGAAAATTCGTTAAAAAAAGGATTTCTGTAAATCATATCATTCTGTAAAAGCTGATAATTTTTCTTGAAACTTTAAAATAGGATAATGAAATGATTTAATCTGACTCACAAAAGGAATGATGCAATGGAGACTTATCGGTTGTTGACAATCGTTTCAGTTGACAAAAGATATCAAAAGTTATCGAATCAGTTTCCACTAGCCTCTGTTTATTTTTCTGCACTAATAAGGTTGAATCATGGGTTATTTGTTTGCGAATTTAATTTCCCCCGTTTGATTGCACCTTCCCGTAGTTGATAGCACTCATCGATTATTGTGACAATCGCTTGATTTGCTTGAGTTATCGTTATCACACACGCGCTGTGGGCAAATACTCTGTGTTGTTATTAAATACTAGGCGCAGTATTATTATTATTGGTTGCCGTGCCGTATTTCTGCTTCTTCTCGGGGGCCTCTTATCACCCGATTTTCCTCCGACCACCTCCCCTTTTCCCATTGTTGATTATCACAATAGACGCCATGGCAACATTTTTTTTGTGTGTTTTTTGGGCGAGAGCGAGGAAGCGATAATTCACATGGTTTGTCGCCGTTGTTTTGTATTTTTGGGTTCTGGGTTTGGCGGACATTCCCAGACTTTGTTCTGTATCGTTTATATACTCTTTCACGCTATCTGCGATTACGTTTGCATGCTCGAACATGTCTGTTTGAAGAAATTTCCCTCCCGTAATCCCTCTAAAATTTGCTTTTGGCCTCGTCTTTCTCTGCTCGACTGCCTCACTTTATTCACGTTTTCTACAGGGTCTTTATGACTACTATGAGTTATTGTCTGATATCTCACAAGGTCCCTTCGTATTCGTTTTCGTATTTCCCCCGGCTCATTGAAAATTCCAGCGGACGCAATTACCACCCCAATTGTCTCCCAATCTAAGTTTTCGCGTTTGAGCTTCTCCGCCTCTTTATTTGACTGTATTTTCTGTATTTCTGTGTTTCTTTCGGTTTATTTATTTTTCGCTTATTGCGACTTATAAAAATATTTCAGTTGTTGTTTGCGCTTCCCATTCGCCTGTTGTCGTCATCAGAATGGCTGGAATATTTCGCTTTATTTTTATTTTCTTTTTCGTTAATTTTTTCCCCCATGTTTTTTGGCCGTTTCCTTCTGCGAATTGTTAATCTGGTTTTGTTTGGCCTGCCACTAATCGAGATAATACTTTTATATATTTTCACATTTTTTGGGGATTTTTTATCGTGTATTTTTGCGATAAGGCAATATGACTCTTTTATTTCTGGTTTGTTGGTCCGAATATTTTGGCAAAATATAGCTTGGTTTTTTGGTATATCAACATGTTGTTTTTCCGGCTGTCATTGGGCTGTTATTTGTTTCTGCAATCTTATCGCTTGGAAAAGTTTGTAATTAATTTCAGACAGATAGAACGGAATATCCATGCTATTGGATTAATCAAGGTTTCTGCGGAGCTTTGGGTGTAAATATTTAATTTAATTAGATTAATTACTAGTTGAGGAGTATAATATATTTTGCAATTCGATATGGGACCTTAACTTTCTTATAAAGTAGGTGAAAATCTCCGTGATATCGAGTTCAGCTTTCTTCTCCCAGCCGCCTGCATTGCCCACCTCGTGTCTTTTCATTCTGCCCTAATTAACTTCTCGCTCAGCATTCTCAGCTTCCTCTGCGGTTTTCCCGCATATTTCTTTTATTTTTTTTCAGTCTGTCTGTCGATCAGCGGCATCAAAAAAGTTTCCGCTTACTTTGTTGCCTTTTTCATACTGCTACGTAGTATACTTTCGCCCATAAATCTCCGCCGGTTGCTAATAATTTCAGCCGACTTTGAGCCCTAACCCCGCTGAAGATTTCCTCGTCGCCTTTTCTCCCGGGGATCACGTTGAGTTTTTGGTTTGAGTGGGTGAAAGGAGCTTAGGAGGCAGCTGTATGCACCCAACCCAGTCTTCGGGTTTCCTATTTCTGCTCTCTACTACCTACTACCCCCTTTCTCCCTCTTTCTCCGCCGCCTGTGTAGGCGTTCTTCTGTTCGCAATTTCACCCGGCACACACAGATACACACCACCACTTGCCCATAACCGGTGCGCCTTGTCTGCTCTCCTTTGCGTTGGCATTTTTAAGGGGTATTTATGATTTCTCTATAAGGATGTTGCAAAAAATAATAATAAATATCTCAGGAGTATACATATATGTTGGATCTTGTAATATTTAATTGTAATCAATAGATAGGCGATTATTCTACAATTACATAGTTTCTTTGAAATAGAAAACTTTTTTTTTCACATAAATCATATCAAATTTTTACAACCTCTACAGACTGAAATCTCTAATATAAAAATAGAGAATATAGTAAAATTCCACCCTTAAGGGTATTTAAAGCAGTGGGTTATTTAATCTCTGCCTTTTGCTACTGTTCTCATTTGTTCTGCTTCTTCTTTTGGCCATCTTTAATAACGAGAATCTTTCACTTTGCCTCCTTTTTCCACTGCTGCTGCAGCCTGATACCGTTATTCTATACCCTAGAGATGACATCGTGAGTGTGACAAGTAAATGTGGGGTAATCACAAAGGAAAAGAAGAACAGTATATGGAAAACCAGAAGTTCCTAAAGATACCTGGTTTGGGTTGAGAACAATCATCTCATAACAGGTTCCACAGTCTGGGTTCCCGAAAACAAACAGGTTCCACGTGTCGAACGTGTCCAAAATGAATTCCCAAAGGGAAATTGGTACACGCGTGCATCTCTCATTAAAACTCAGACGGCTCCCTATTCTCCGCCCGCCTTTCTTCTGGGGACCCCTTTTCTTCTCTGCCTCCTCTCTTCTCTTCTCTAGCTACTTGCTACTTGGTTATGTGATACGTTAATGGCGTCTGTGTGTGCGTGCCTTTCGCTGTTCCCTTTTGCGACACAGAAAATAAAGCCAAAAGCAGCGAAGGTTTCTTCAAAGACATTCTACCAAGCCCACGCATCAGAAGCCCCAGAGAGTGAGAGAGAGGGGGTATAGTGCCAGAGAGAGACGGGGTTATTGGGGGAACAAGAGGGCAAAGCTCACATGTCAATCAGTCCCTTTCTGACACGTTCTACGTTTGCTTTTCCACTCTGCTGTCAAGAGAAGTTCAATTTAGTTTTAAATGAATTTTTCATGTTTTTCTCAGCTCTACATCTCAGATGATTCTCGTTATTTTCCATTAGGACTTAAAAATAATCCCAGAAAATAGTAGGTAATTTGGAATACTATCACAAAATGTACAAATTATATTTAAAATAAATAATATTAGTTAAATATACAAAACATCTCACACAACTTGTAAATTTAAAATAAATCTTGAAACATTTCCAATGTTTTTATTTGTTGATTAAGCTTTTATTTTTGGTCCAACCGAAAATATATTTGGCTATTCGGTTGACATGTAAAGAAAAGACGAGAAACATACACAAAGAGACCAAAAGACGGACAGACGAACGAGAAATGTAAATGAAATTTCCATGCAAGACATCACGTAGGCTCAAAGTGCAGAGACAACGAAATGTCGAAAACAGAAAAACGGGTAAACAATATTCAGATTCGGTTTTATTTTATTTTGTATTTCGGAATGGTTAAATGGCTAGCGACACCGAGAACCGCTGCAAATTCATGAATATAGTCATGGTTGTGGATTGAATATTTTCGATGAGTTTAAAAGGATCTGTTTGAGATCGAAATAAAAATGTTTTGTGCTACAACTCAAAACTCGAGAAGGTCAAACTGGGGTTGGGTGCGCATTGAGCACTTAAAGGGTCCGCCACTCAGGAAAACTCGTGAAAATGACAGCTGTCCGTGATGACTACTGTATATATCTGCCAGATACAGATAGACAGATACAGATACAAATACAGATACAGAGATACTCAGCTCAAGTCGGCTATGGCAAACATTTCAATTAACCGAAACGCAAGGCAGCAGTAAAAAAGAGGGGCCAGATAGATAAAGTAGATTAAAGAGGACGGGCACAAAAATTATATTTATGTTGTGTATTTATTTTGCTTAGCTTTTCCCTCAATTATTTCTGACATGCCACCGAAATTTGATTTCTGGTGTTGTCATACGTGGTGGGGTATATATTTGCTCATATATGATGGATAGGAGGGTCAGTTAGTCGAGGCCAAAGTATATGAAAAACATGCCTAAAAATCCAATATGAATTTTAACAAGAGAGAACGCTATAGTCGGGTGCCCCGACTATCAGATACCCGTTACTCAGCTAAAGGGAGTGCGAAAGAGATGGAGAAAAACTTTGATCCGCCGTAACTTTTTAACGAATGGTCCGATTTAAAAAATTTCTTCTACATTTCGATAGGTATTGATAAACACAATAAAACTGCATTTTTACTTTCCAAAATATTGAAATTTTTAAAATCGTATATATGCGATTGTGGGCGTTAGAGGGGGCGTGGCACCCTTTTGAAACAAACTTGCGCTGCGTAGGAACTCCTAGAATCTGCATGCAAAATGTCAATCTTCTAGCTTTTATAGTTTCCGAGATCTCAGCGTTCATACGGACAGACGGACAGACGACAGACAGACAGACAGACGGACAGACGGACAGACGGACATGGCTAGATCGACTCGGCTAGTGATCCTGATCAAGAATATATATACTTTATGGGGTCGGAAACGCTTCCTTCTACCTGTTACATACTTTTGCACGAATACAATATACCCTTTTACTCTACGAGTAACGGGTATAAAAATTCCTGTACAAT